TTGCCTAAAAGTGGACTGAATTTCAAGATTCCTCTGAGACAAGAAGAAGCTAAACCTGGTGCTTGGAAAACCTCTGAAAAGAGACACCACATGAGTGGTCAGAGGTACAACTTACCGTCACATCAGTTACGTACACATGCCAAAGCATGAAGAAACTGCCCCTGTATGTTTTGTCATCACATAGCTATGGAACAAATAGAGGAATTCTTAGCTTTAACAAGACCAAGGAGCAAGGAGGCTGTCTTCTGATCGTCAAAAGGATTTATTCGAAATGGCAGCCAGCGGATCTGTTGTTTTTATTTCATTCGTTTTTGCTGGGGTACTTAAAAAGAGTTTTATACCGTAGGTAACATTGTGTGCAGAGAGAACAAATAAAGCTGATGTGACTGCAGTGGCAGCATAGAAGCATGCACCCCTTTGCAGGTCTTATTTACTTGTTATTTCTCTAGATGAGCAATTTCTTTTACCTAGACTATAATGGTGCAGTGTCAAAAAGCTGCTTGTAATCGCTCAGTGAGGTTGGCTTTACACAAAACTACACAGTGGAAGCATTATACGATTTTATTCTTTTTAGAGCAGTCTTTTGAAACTAATTCGCCAGAAAATAACACATTTCCTTTGGATTTCAGTTTTTACAAGCTGTGGACTATACTGAAGTCCCTGTCACTAATATTAAAGTTTTTGTGCTACTGGCTATGGATGTATACAGAAGCTAAAGTATTTTGAGAGGCCTAGCTAAGAGCTTGTTGTTTGTTTTAACAGTCATTGGAGATTCTGAATCTGGGACATAAAAAACGAATGAGTATATAATGATTATTTCAATGATTTAATATAAGTAGGGTCACATGGTCACTTAGTATCGTAAGAGCTGTAAAGCTTGTAGGTACTGTGTTGAGTTTGAAATTATGATCAAATACTTTTATTACCCACCTTATAAACAGATGTTTTAAAGCATCCCAAAGTTAGGGGCTGTTTTCACAGGTATTTGTAAAATCAACATTTACCACTAGGATCTGATGATAGATCATAATATATAATATAGAAGCTATATCAGTGCTATATTAATGAGTAAAGATCCCATACTTTCACAGAACTTTTTTGAGGTTACATTGAATTGCCTATAAAAAAAGTGCTGGTAAAAAAATTAAATACCTCCCTGGTAACATTTGTCTGATTTGCGCACTCAGGCAGATTGTTAGTTGTCTGTCTTGGCTTTTTTTTTTCTTTCTGATATTAGGTGACATTTTAGAAAAAATAAATTTTAAGGAAGTCATTACTCTCACAATAAATCTAAGCAGGCATTTAAGTAATAACAAAAAAAAACCCATGCAAAGTGAAATGGCGAAGGAAGGAAGTTTCTGAGGGTAGATGCTGCCTACCATCTTAGTTCCTCTGTATTGGCTTCAGGAAAGCTGTGATACGCTCCATCAGACCCAGCAAACATTCTAACGGCACCAGGCAACATTTACAAGAACTGTGTCGAACCAGTGTAGTCAGCTATACTTTTAAAGACTGCTAGTTCTAAATTCTAATTTTACTTACTAAAGGTTAAAGTGGGTAAGATGTGGATGACAAACAAATAACATATAGCTACCTCTAAAGCCAAATCAAGTGTGTTTTTTATTACCCCACGTATTGCTGCCCAGAACATGTTCAAGTGAAAGCTACCTTTATTAAGAAAGGAAGTTTATATTGTGATGTACCAGTTCTGTCATCTGTATTAGATGCTGTGGTGCCCACCTTGTATTTTTAATATAAGAGAGCATAATTTAGACTGAAAGAGTTTCACATACAGATTTATTACCAGAGGTAGATTTGGGAAACAGCTTCCTTTGGGAAGGACAACGGGTACCTTCGCATCCAGGCTCTACTCTCAGTCTGAAGATACAGGCAATATCGTTTATACAGTTGCTCTTGGTCAGCTTCCATCTTAACTATGTTATCCCACATCCTAGGACTGCGATAGGAACTAGGAGCATACCTGGTTATTCAGAGTGTTAGGATGGTTTTGGCGACCTAAGACCAAAGACTTACCCTCTCTTTGCAAAGAGCTGGGCAGGAAGGGAGCGTGCCGATGGATGTGCTAAATGACGACAGGAACTTTGTGCTGCTTAGCGCTAACCCATTCTTCCACCTGTCTGGAGAGACCCTTATTTGGCTATACTTTATACAAAACCAGGATCCTCACCATTTCATCATTCTTTCTCCTTGCCAATTGAAGAATAAATCTGCAATTTTACATCTAGTTCATCTGGCTTATGGAATAGACTTACTATTTGCTTGATTTTGAATTGATTTTCCTGGGAGGGAAATACTTGTATTTGTTTTAGGGGAAATTTAGACAATCATTATATAGTCATCATGTACATTCAGTACTATCTATTCAGTGCTATCATCTACTTATGTAGTTGATAGAAACGCTCTTGCATCAAATACACCGACGTATATTGGATCATCATGACTGCCTACTTGTAAAAGTAAAAATAATTAGCAACGAGTTCTTTAAATGACTTGAAAATTCTTGTGTGATAATCCGGAGTTGCTGCACTATGTGAATGTTTGTTCTTCATTAAAAGTATCAACAATACAAAACAAATAGATACCATGAGCCGTGTTGGAAATCTGATCTGAAGAAACACCAACAGCAAAAGGCTGGATTGGAGGCTGCTTTCTTTGACAACAGATCTGGTATTTTCTCAGGCAGAACTTACAAATCAGAAGCAGCTCATCTGATCTCTGTGAGAGCTTCCGTACTCTTTCCACCGTGTGCCTATTAATTTTCAGGCTTGTACTCTAAAACTTGCACCGTTTAGCAAGCTGATTCTACTTGACAGGATAAAAGGAGTTAATCTGACCTGATCGCCTGTGCTGAATAAGTTACACTTGCCAACCAGTCATGCCTTGGAAAACCTTAATAACCTTGATTTTCATTAGGAAATAAAGGGGATCCATGTCTCTTGTCATGTGCTGTTTTTTCCAGATCTTTTCCTTTTGTTTCTACTCCTTTTCAGAGTATATATCAGAGAGAATTCAGTCTACAAGGTTTATCTCCCGTTTTTTTCCTGTCCCTGCCAAAACTGTGGCTGCACCTAGGTAGCCTTCACAACAGTTTCACTAGTATGATTTACATAAAATATATCCCTGTCTACAACAGCCAGAAACTAGTTCCAAAACCAGTAGAGCTAGCAAATTCAGGTTTCCTGTAGCTTCAGGTCTTACATTGTTTGTATCTCTATCCTGGAATATCTTCAGCTGTTCTCACATCTCTCTCATCCTCCTTTTTGTTCTGCCATGAAAGACAGACATGGTAGTAAAAACGACGTACGTACAAGGTGGCTGCTGCCAAACAGCAGAACGGATAACAATGCGAATGCCTCCCTCTCCACGGGACTGCTAATCAGCCCTCTCTGTAAGCCAGCCAGCTGCTGCTTTTTACAAAAACCATTAGCAATTTCTTATCCTTGAATCTTCTATCACAGCCATAGTTAGCTGAAATTGTCCAAAGTGTTCAAAAGCTTGAGTGTTTTAGGGGAGAAAGGTGAGGGAGATAAAGGGCTTCAGTGTATGATCCATTTGATATGGTACTGAGAAAGCAAGGTACTCATCTCGAAAAATTTTTTAGCTGCTCTATTTCTGTGTTGTCTAACCCACAAAAGGAGACAATCTCCCTAAACACTCACAGGGACAGGTGCATCAGTCTCATTCTCAGGGTTGTCTTCCGAAGGTGTTATACCTTCTCTCACTACCACTACCAAAGTGAAGACTCCAGCTGGCGGAGTTTGATAAAAGCAGCGATGAGTCACAAGTTATTAAGCACTGAGCAAAGTGCTAGAAGATGGTGTGCTGGTACCGTCTGAAGTGAGGCAGTCAAAACCAGTACTGTAACCTCCAGGGCACATTTTGTTTGTACCTTTAAGGTTGGTAGTCCCAGAAGCAATGGCATTAATCGTCTTGTCTGCAATACGGGTGACAACAGTGTTGCTACTATCAATCTATTTACTCCTGGGGCATATTTGGGAGCCAAGGGAATAACTCTGAATGTTGATTACCAGACTCTTTCTTTCCCAAGTGGATAAATATCAATGCTTAAAAACAGCAAAAACTGATTTCTAACTTAGATTATATGCACTTTTCCTTTAAAAAATAAACCAATTTGGAGTTAAATTCCAAATCATTACAAATCATATGCATTCCTAAATCTTAAAAGCTATTAGAATAATTTAGATAAAATACTCCAGTTTCAGCCAGGGCATTCTTGCTGTTGGAGTTGTAATGTCACATCACCAAACTAGTCGAATCACTAGCCAGGCACCTTCAGTAAGAACGATTGAGTGCCAGATCATCTTGTGCCACCTGCATCTTCTCTTGGCTATGCAGGGAAAATCATCCTCAATTAGTTTGTTCAGTTAGTTCAGTTCAGTCGCTGGTCCATTCCAAGTTAAAAAAAAATCAGAGGTTGAGTATGCACATTGGACACCCCAGGCCTGGAATATGCCATCCAAATTCTGTTCCTGTCCTAAAACTACACTTGTAACTCATAAAGCTATTCTGTCTGTGCTCTAATTGGAGATGTAATGAGTACATCCTTCTTTCCTCACTGGCTGGCATTTTAATATCACGAAGGACCTGAAAGGTACTGGGCATCCATGGACTTTCTTCCCTCCACTGGAACCCCAGGCACACAAAGAGCGAGCACTGCTGGTTCTCTGCTTTAATTGCAGTGTGCTGGAAGTTCTCGTAAAACAGAACAAAAACTGTGATCAGAAGCTTTAAAAAAAAGCTATATATTAAGGCTGACAAGTTCAAATATAGACATGTACCCATGTGTAGACATGGGTAGAGTTTTGGGCGTGGTGAGATTCAAACTTGACGTTGATCCGAAGCATTTATGTTTAAATGAAAAGTAGGAGGGGAGAACATCTATTATAATAAATAATTATGACACTAACCTTGATCTGTTTGCTATAGATGTTAATAGTGAATGGATTTTTTGTATCTAGGTCTAATGAGGCTTGGTCCTGTTCTTCAGGAGTGTAAAGGGTTATGGCCAAACTGGTAAGTGAATAACTTGATTGTATTTCATAAAAGTGTCCGATACTGAAGAGTAGGGATTTTAAATTTAAAATGGTGAATTATCTGTATTTTGGATAGGTTGAAAGTTTTTCACCAACCATTTTGACTCCTCAGAAAATTTAGGAATGCTCACAGTCTCAGAAGACTTTACATTCTTGTATGTTTAAATTGCTTACAGTAAACTGGTGAATTGTGAAAACGGTATTTAAAAAGCACTTAGTGAATATCATTGTGCCATATTCCCATGGCTTTGTTTTTCTAATACATTGTTATTAAGGTGCGACTGGATGCATTTATTGGCTCGATTTTGCTATTAATCATTGCATCATTGTAATAATTAAACATAAATCTTCAGTCTTTATTTTAACTTAAAAACTTCTGACTCACTGGATGCTCTCTCAAACCGTCCAACCCTCACCCCTTTGACAGGGTAGAGAGGAGAGGACTTCCAGGAAAATACTTATTTTAAATCTACACCATCTGCCTTTTGGGATCCTGTTAGATCCTACAATTCAAGGAGCTTTAGCTGGGGTCAGTATTTAGACAGGAGATTATCCAGGAACATGAAAGTGCTGCGGGACGTGCTTGAGGTTTTTCCATAGAAGTGTTGTCTTTCTTTTGTGTAAACAATCTCTTGTCTGGGCGTGAAAGGACACCACTGCTTGGGGTTCCCTAATGTCAGGACGACATTATGATGTACAAAATTGGTATCTTAACTGCAAATTGGCTTTTAAGACCTAATGGTTCTTTTGCAAGGGAAACGGTAGCCAGACCAAAAGCCAATTAAAATTGAATTGCTGTGCAGTTTTAGTGAGGTGTGTTCTTAATATCATGGTCTCCGTTGCTGGAGAGTGTTGTCTATTATCAGCGGTATATTTTGTGCTGGTATAGTTTAATGGTGAGCAAATAGATTCTTGTTTACTGTTGTAACACCGTTTTTAAAGTTACGCATCAGCTTCAATTCCTTTGAACAAAAGCTTAAAAAGATCAAGTTGTGGCCTAGGAAGAAGATTCCCTAGATCTACGAATTTGCAGCTACAGCTAATGGCAACTTTGCACTCCTGGCTGTCGGTGTAATTTAGAGCTGCTCTTAAATTACTTTCCTTTCTGCAGGTGGACTGGCTCAGCACCTGTCTGGCTGCCTGAAGGAAGCTTTTAAAGAAAGTCTGCGACAGATCAGAGTAAGAAAACTGTATATTGCCATGGTTACTAATACATTTACTGTAGAAATGGACTGTTTTGATTTATCAAGATGATTTTTGGGGGGAAAAAAATCACAAACTAGAAAAATTGGCTCAACTCAAGTGAGCCCACAGTAAACTCCTAAGGGATGTTAGAAACAATTCCAGGATCAGAAGAGCCTGGAACACAAAAGAACACAAAAGACTCAAAAAATGACTTTCTCTCAAGAAAGTATTAATTATTTAAGAGGACCAGGCTGAAACGCAGGCCCCACAGGAGACTCTGATAAAGTTAAACCTGCCTCAGTTACCATCAAGAGATGGCAATCCCTCTGCGCATACTGTGGTTTTAACAAATTTTTCCCTCCATGTGCTGCATTTGTATTACTAAACTACGCAGTGGTTTTGTCACCGTATCCGACTACTGATCTTGCAGAGCAGTACAACGGCTGTTCAAGCCTCGACAAAACTGATGGGTAAATATGCTTGATGCCCAAGGCACTGCAGCACAGGCACGATCTGAAAGCAAAAGACTGGCAGGGTTTCATTCTTCCACAGATAAAGACATGATGCCTGAAAGCTGAAGGACTGTACACTGAGCTTAAGAGAGAGACAGAAATCCAATTATCACTGCGAGTTTTAACTGTGTGTTTGTAAACTACCTTCTGAGACCAAATGCTTTTTTCTGTTTGATCCTGCTATGAAGTCATAATACTGGATTTGTCATGTCACAATTATTTTCCTAGTGATAGTCTGTGATATGCTATGATATCATGTTACTTCTGTGTAAGATCAAACAGAAGGTCACAGTGGATAGTGAAGAAGAAAATCCAACTAATGCATAGCTATTGTCAGCATTGCTACAGAAATACAGAAACATACCAACCAGTGTTTCTTTTCATGCACTCAGTGCTTTTCTTCACAAGGGTGTTATATCTGAAAACTTCTCATGAAGAACTAAGTTCGTAAATTAACTTGCTAAATATCCGCACAGTAGTCCTACTTGCTGATAATCTTCAAGTAAGAAATGTAAAATAGTCTTCTAAAGAGCAAAAAGAAAGGGAGTTTTGCAATGCATATTCAGAAGTGGAGAGCTGTGCTTTCCTCTCGCTGGTTAATTTGACTTGCTCAGGCTATGTGGAACTCCCTTCCTGTTTCCCTTCAAGACATTGAGTCACTTCCTTTCTTTAAATGAAAAACCCTTTCATTTCTCTTTAACTGATGATGGATTCTCTTTCAAGCATTCTGATAAAATCAACTGAATTATACATAGATTTTCCTACTCCTAGATGACCAAAATTGTTGCAGTTAGATATGTTAAAATTAGAGCTACAGCGCTGTCTATACTCAGAATTTTACAAATTATTGAAAGCAGCTTGTTCTCTAAGAGTATATTTTAATGAAATTTTAATCTCTTGTTTAACCAACAGATGAGAAATTTTAGATTTGCAGGTGAAATGGTAATTTATTCAAATCACTTTTATTTGCTATACAAGGAATAAAATTTGCAACACAAGAATGAAAGTATATTTATTTTCCTGGGATGTAATAGACTGATACACAGAAAAGTTGAATTTGCTTCTAGTAAAACATTTCTGTCCCAGTCAGCTACTGGTGAAAGGGGTAAAAATGCCACTGAAGATTTCACAGTCGTATTCATTGACAAGGTCATTGCATCTGGCCTGTTTTTTAGCATAGATAGAAGCACAGGATTGTTACTACTTTCTTAATGCAATTTACTACATTAATTTTAAGCCCCCTCAAAGTGGAAAAATCTGAGAATTTGCATTTCCCCAAACTGAGTGTTGCCCCCCACGTATATTCTCCAAATTTACTAGCTGGTAGGAAAACGGAGGAAGTATTGTTAAGATTTTCTTTGTATGTACTTGTGCTGTGGCTACTGCTGTAAGACACTGGGTAGACATATCAATAGGTAAGTAAAAAGAAGACTGAAGATGTCAGTTGATATATTAAACCATGATCCAAATTCACTGCTGGTGCAGTGAAGTGGAATTACTGGAGGTACAGTCCTGGAGTTACAGCAGGGATTTTGGGCTGTGATCCTCCATGCGATCTGCCATGTCAAAAATACCATTCGGGGATAATTGATGTAATTCTAGGTGAAGTTCAAGGTTCAAATGTGAGCTTGCTGAGCTAAACATTGGTTTAAACTCTGTCCTAGGTAGTGTAATATAAATTTCAGTAAGGATGAGTTCAGCCGCTAGGCCAATTCTTTTATTTGCACATATGCAGTTCATTGACTGTAACAGAGCCGTAACAATAAAACTAGGTACAGAATTTAGCCATTTACTGTATGGAAAAACTTACTTGTTTTATATTTAGCAATACATTAATTTTAATCCATCTGTCCTGCTGCCTTTATCCATCTGTCCTGATGCCAACAGCCTTTATTATTATGTCACTGTAAGAGGGCTGACTTGAAATGTCCATGGATAAACTATCAGTAGAGAATAAAAAAAATCCTAGGGAGAAAGAATGAAGTCTAAAGAACTTACAGACTGTTACCTGCTTATTCACGTGCTGTGAAACTTTGTATCTCTATTGCCTTCAGTGTATTCACAAAATTACTTTCCACTTTCCGTATTTCCTTTAGTCATTTCTGATCGAGGCAGGGAACACTGATGTCTTCTACTGATGGCCGAAGGCTCCCCTGCATTTTTCATCCGAAAGGCAGCAGCTCCCACCGCATGGATACCTTGAGATATGCTAATCGGGACCCCTCCTGAGACTTTCCTCACGTCAAGCAGTAAGTCAGGGGAAAAGATTCATTTTGCTTAGTGGGACTGCTGCCACGCGTACGTATCTTTGCACACATCGCATCACAGCAGAACGGGCTCTGCAGCGATAAGAGATTTGTCGTGCCTTCTTCTTAAGTTACGCAACACTGAATTTGCGGTTTCCTTCCTCTGAATACTTTCCATGAACTAATTTCTTTACGTAGCGACATATGGGAGAATAAATCATTTGTGGGATTAAAAATCCATAGTAACGTCGGAGAAGGGCAAATACAGAATTGCAGGCCCCTTTGCTCTAGCTGCGGTGGCTATATGGGTGGAAATCACATCCAAATGTATGCCATGCCAGTTAAATCAAGCGTCACCCTGAGGGCTTCGGCCAGTGCTCCAGCCCCGGGTCGGAAAACAAAGAACTAACACACAGAGGCCGGCGTGAATGTTTTGCTTTGTGAACGAGCGGCTAATGTTTCCCTGCACCAGTCGCACAGTTTAAAATCACATTTTCAAGCGACGGTTAAATCCGTTCAGGCGGCTGATTCACCCCGGCCTCCGGCGTGAATGTTTTGCTTTGTGAACGAGCGGCTAATGTTTCCCTGCACCAGTCGCACAGTTTAAAATCACATTTTCAAGCGACGGTTAAATCCGTTCAGGCGGCTGATTCACCCCGGCCTGAGTGGACAAACAAGCTTACCTGAGCTGTAAACGTCGCCTCCCCGCGCAGCCAGTGGATTCCCAGTACCCTTCTTTTAGACAATTTCTTTTTTTTTTTTTTGGCACCATGTTTTGGTTAATTTTTGGTTCATGTCCCAGCCCCCACCCCCACCCCCCGCCGGGGCGATGTCCCCGGCTGCGCCGCTGCGGGCCAAAACGCGCCAGGCGGCTCC